CCCACACGTGGTAGTCTAGGGGCTAAGGTACTGGCTGCTGACCCGCAGGTCATGGGATCGAATCCCGGCTGTGGTGGCTGCATTTTCGATGGGAGCGAAAATGCTGCAGGCCCTTGTGCTCAGATTTGGACGCACGGTAAAGGAACCCAGGTGGTCGAAATTTCCGGAGCCCTCCACTCTCATAATCAGATGGTGGTGTTGGGATGTTAAATCCTATGTATCAATCAATCCGGAATATTTAAACGAAAAACAGGTAGGCTTTGTCAGAATCTGTGTTTGTTATTGTTTCCTCCGAACATAGCTTAAACCCAATGGTTGGTTGGTTAATTAGTTGGTTGTTCCTCAGAATCCTGGCGCAACCCACCACGGGGGATCGGCCATGAAACGGACGGTACCCGATTAGTGAGATTGAATTGTTTTACCAGCCGTTATTAAGATGGGGATGTTTAAACAAACAAAAAAAAAAACAGATGGGTAAACGATGCATTAGAAATAAAATAAATAGAGGTAATAAAAAAAAACGAGCAAGCTTATATGGTTTGAAATAAAGTGAATTTATGCATCAGCGTAACATTCTATTCGTTTTGTTGCCTTTGAAAAATTGCATATGGCCTTCTTCGTCCTTGTCCTGACCAAGTGTCGCCACGCGGCTCCTGATCATCGCCAGTGGCACATACGTGCGGCAATATGTACCGCTATTATGGTGGTGGTGGTAGTGGTTAGAAGATGAGAAAAGGCACCTAATTTCTGCAACCCGATCGGGAGCACCACGCAGTGCCTGGCTATAATGACGTGCATTACACGCGTTAGTATAGTGGAGCTATAAAAGCAAGAGTAATGCCTTCTCGTGCGGGTGCGGCGATGCGTAGTGGTTAGAGCATCCGCCTCGCATGCAAGAGGTCCGTGGTTCAAATCCCGGTGCCGCGCAGTTCCCAACCGGAAAAAAAAAATCCGCGTGTTGATGGAACTGCATTAAGAGGCCTGGGGTGCGGCCTCACCGGTAACCACCGCCGAGAACACACTCTCTCACCAGAGGATTGGCCACCCTGGTGCAGTATCTGGCCACTACCTCCCACATGCATACGTCAAATAACTCACGGCCCTCAGTCCCCAGCAGCTGCGAAGCAACTGACCATGGCGGCGGTCAGATCTGCAACGCAGCAGAGGGTGCCAAGAATCTCTGGGCTACAGGCCGCCATTGGAACCTGAACTTGGCAACGTTTAACGCTAGAACCTTATCTAGTGAGGGAAGTCTAGCTGAACTATTCGAGGAGCTAGAGGGTGTTAAATGGGATATAATAGGGCTTAGATAGGTTAGGAGGACAGATGAGGCCTATACTGTGCTACAGAATGGGCACGTCCTTTGCTATCGGGGCTTGGCAGACAGAAGAGAACTGGGAGTGGGGTTCCTAATCCACAGAAACATAGCTGGCAACATAGAGGAATACTATAGCATTAACGAAAGGGTGGTAGGTATCGTAATTAAACTGAATAAAAGATACAAAATGAAGGTAGTACAGGCTTACGCACCTACATCCAGCCATGATGACGCTTCAGTTGAAAGCTTCTATGAAGACGTGGAATCGGCAATGAGTAAGGTAAAAACACAGTGTACTATAGTGATGGGCGACTTTAATGCAAAGGTATAGAAGAAGCAGACTGGAGACCAGGCAGTGGGAGATTATGGCATCGGCACTAGAAACGCTAGAGGAGAGCTACTAGTAGAATTCGCAGAACGCAATAATTTGCGGATTTTGAATACCTTGTACCGAAAACGAGAAAACCGCAAGTGGATATGGAGGAGCCCTAATGGCGAAAATAAGAACGAAATAGACTTTATAATGACTGCACACCCAGGAATCGTGCAGGATGTGGAAGTGGTTGGCAAGGTACGATGCAGTGACCATAGAATGGTACGGTCTCGAATTCGCCTAGACTTGAAGAAGGAACAACAGAAACTGATACACAAGAAGCCAATCAATGACCTAGCACTGAGAGGGAAAGTACAGGAATTCAGAGTGTCGCTGCAGAACAGGTACTCGGCTCTTAGTGAAGAAACCAACCTTAGCGGAGATAAAATGAATGATAATCTGATGAGTATCATTACGGAGTGTGCAGTGGAAGTTGGAGGCAGGGTAGTTAGACAGGACACTGGCAAGCTTTCGCAGGAAACGAAGAACCTAATTAAGAAGCGTCAAATCATGAAAGTGTCAAGTACAACAAACAAAATAGAACTGGCAGAGCTTTCGAAGTTAATTACTAGACGTAAAGTATGCGATGTAAGAAGGTATAACATGGAGAGAATTGAACACGCTCTGAAAAACGAAGGAAGCGTCAAAGCAGTGAAGAGGAAACTTGGGATAGGCAAAAGTCGGATGTATGCACTAAGGGACAAAGAAGGCAAAAATAACTAACAATATGAATAGGATAGTTAAAATAGCGGAGGAGTTTTACAGAGATCTGTACAGTAGCCGAGACAACCACGACCTTAATACTCTAAGAACTAGCAGTAACCCAGATGACACCCCACCAGTAATGATAGAAGAAGTCAGAAAAGCTTTGGAGAGCATGCAAAGAGGCGAAGCTGCTGGTGAAGATCAGGTAACATCAGATCTGCTGAAAGATGGAGGACAGATTGTGTTAGAAAAACTAGCCACCCTGTTTACGAGGTGTCTCCTGACGGGAAGGGTACCAGAGTCTTGGAAGAATGCTAACATCATCCTAATACATAAGAAAGGAGATGGCAAGGACTTGAAGAATTACAGGCCGATCAGCTTGCTCTCTGTAGTATACAAGCTATTTACAAAGGTAATTGCTAACAGAGTAAAGAAAACATTAGAATTCGCTCAACCAAAGGAACAAGCAGGATTTCGAACAGGCTACTCAACAATTGACCACATTCATACTATCAATCAGGTAATAGAGAAATGCTCAGAGTATAACCAACCACTATACATAGCCTTCATAGATTACGAGAAGGCGCTTGATTCAGTAGAAATATCAGCCGTAATGCAGACACTGCGGAATCAGGGCGTAGATGAAGTATATATAAACATTCTGGAAGAAATCTACAGGGGATCAACTGCTACCATAGTGCTTCATAAAGAAAGCAATAGAATACCAATCAAGAAGGGTGTAAGGCTGGGGGACACAATCTCTCCAATGCTATTTGCCGCGTGCTTACAGGAGGTTTTCAGAAGCCTAGAATGGGAACAGTTAGGGATAAGAGTTAATGGAGAATACCTTAGTAACCTGCGCTTCGCCAATGACATTGCATTGCTGAGTAACTCAGGGGACGAATTGCAACTCATGATTACGGAGTTAGACAAGGAGAGCAGAAAGGTGGGTCTTAAAATTAATCTGAAGAAAACGAAAGTAATGTACAACAACCTCGGAAAGGAGCAGCGCTTCGAGATAGGTAATAGTGCACTTGAAGTTGTAAAAGACTATGTCTACTTAGCGCAGGTAATAACCGTGGAAGGGCATGTTACACTAGTTTTCGTGTTTTTGTGTGTCACGTTATGTTTTGTGAAGCTCTTGCCGATTCCTGCTTTTGAGAGTGCCTGGCTACGTCGTATTCTCACCGTTGTCAACGACCTATAATATTTTGGAAGGTATTTGAAGCAGACAGTATTACAGTCAGTGCTGCTGATTTTGAAGCATTGCTGTTTCCGGCGGCCGACTGATACATGATCGTGAGACTCGAGACGCTTTAGCTTGGTGTTATGTGGTCACAGAGAGGAAGTTGCTGAAAGTTTTCGTGTTTTTGTGCGTGATTTGTGTGTCACGTTATGTTTTGTGATGCTCTTGCCGCTCCCTAGTATTGAGAGTGCCTGGCTACGTCATATTCTCACCGTTGTCAACGACCTTCTATAAATATTTTGGAAGGTATTTGAAGCAGACAGTATTACAGTCAGTGCTGCTGATTTAGAAGCATTGCTGTTTTCGGCGGCCTACTGATACATGACTCAAGACGCTTTAGCTTGGTGTTATGTGGTCACAGAGAGGAAGTTGCTGAAAGTTTTCGTGTTTTTGTGCGTGATTTGTGTGTCACGTTATGTTTTGTGATGCTCTTGCCGCTCCCTAGTATTGAGAGTGCCTGGCTACGTCATATTCTCATTGTTGTCAACGACCTTCTATAAATATTTTGGAAGGTATTTGAAGCAGACAGTATTACAGTCAGTGCTGCTGATTTAGAAGCATTGCTGTTTTCGGCGGCCTACTGATACATGACTCAAGACGCTTTATCTTGGTGTTACGTGGTCACAGAGAGGAGTGGCTTTTATGCCGTGTTAGAAATTCTGAACAAAAAACCTTTAGATTCTAATTGTTTATAGCTCTATTCATGCTTTGGTAGAACAACTCAAGGCAAATTACTTATTAGATGTAGGGACGGCTTAAAGTGTTCGTAAAAATTGCACAACACTCATGGCACTGCGAATTTTTTGGTTGAACATTCTTGTTGCAATGGGGTGTGCGGTATTGCTAACAAAGATTGTTATCTTTGTTCAATGCGCACCTGAGACTTGCACAATGAATTTCTCATTTTTGGCAGCCAATCTTTTGTTCCTGCTGTATCATGCACTTGACTTTACTCTTGTTACCGAAGGCTACTGTTGACACAGAAAAAAAAAAGACAAAAAACAACATGGAGTACACAGTAGGCGAGATGTTAACGTTGATGTTATGACGTGTGAGATTGTTTCTGCTCCGCATTGAAGCGTTTACATTGAATGTTGTATGGTGTTTTGCGATGTGTACATTTACCAACATTCAGAAGTTCCTAAAGTGGTTAATGGTTTTTCTTGTGCATTTTGTTACGGTAGAAGTCGGGCTGGTCACTATTTGCTGTTGTGGGTAATCATGTGCTTTCTTGTTGGTCTTATTTATATGAGTGATGATAAGTCAGTATTATGTTTTGCTCAAAGTTGTTGTGCTCAAAGAATGCTACACACTTTTCAGCATGACGGGTAACCTTATCTAAATGAGCACATACTAGGTGGCTGTTATGTAATTAAGCACAGCTTCCAAGACATCATGTTCTGAAAAAAACGTGCTGCATACAATACTTGTGTGTCAAAAAGTGTTTTGTACTTTGAAAGGTGTATAAACTGTTCACATCACCAACGAGGGCTATGTGAATTTCTTGTGTGACGTGTTTCTATGTAAATGTGTAAGACACTGTAACTTCTAAGAAAACTTGATTTCTTCTGATGCATAATCCATTGGCATTCTTGGGGAGAGGGCCACACAGAATGCTGAAAGAGAGTATATCATCACTATCAGAAACGCTACTGTAACTAGAGGTGCCATGCTAAATTGAAAGTAAATCCTTTATTTTGCAGAATGAAGCTTTGTGGCTGTACTAAATAATGCACCAGTGTAATTATTGGTAGCAGGGGGCGAAGTTTTCTACAATATGGCACTTATTTGACTATAACAAAGCTATTTTATCATTTTTTGTGATCCTATAGCTCTATGCTTTAGCATGCTGGTTGTACAGTGATTTCGGGCTCAACGACTTTGGGCTCAGTAATGAAATAGTACATTCATTTGCATTGCCTACAGTTCGTAGCATACTGACATTACCTTAAGCGGCCAGATTCGTAGCGATATGATGCAGTTACACCAAGCAGTAATGTGTACCATTCGCATCACTAAGATTTCTTGACCTGTTTAAATGCGTGAACAGTTGTAGTTCTCTTCAATGCGGAGGAAAAATTTAGGTATACCATTTTCTATTACTTTGTGCAGAGGCCTAGACTTCAGGTTTATAACGAGGGCGCAACCAAGCCAGGGTTGGCAACCCAGTCAATTCAACTGGACACATGGAATGTCGGGTTGAATTAACTGTGCACCATAATGAGGTATACAAATCGGTCAATGTATTGATAGAACATAGAACTATATTTGTGCTACATCGATTCTGGCATTAGACTACATGTAAAAATCGAAGTTTAGCCACTAATTAGGCCTCGCAATGATGGGCATGGGAGGATACAGAATGGTTCTGTGGTGCGAGTCAACTTACGGAGGGGCCTGTTATGTCATCTTATAAATTATGTATGTTACAAAGTTAAGGAGTTGAGAACAGGGCATTTGGACAGCCCCCTGAATCTACGCGGAGACCTAGGCCAGTGAGTCATCGCACTGTGAGTGAGACTCCGCATAAGTTGCGCACCTCATAAGACCGCATGTTAAGTTGACGTGCACTCAATTAAACATTTGGTGGGTATATATATAGGCAAAAATATATAATGTGCACTCACCTTGTACATCACTGTGCAATTCTTCTCCACTAAAGAAGTACGTTTTCTCTCTGAAAAAAAAAAAAAAAAGAAAGAGGAAATTATAGGGAAAAGGCGGAACAAAGTGGAGATGTGGACTTCAAAATTTCAACCGTACTGAATAAACCGCGTTCTTTCTCAGACAGCACAAATTTTTTGTAAAAAACTATACGGAGCACCTAAAGAAACAATCGTATTGAAAATTTGCACATGCTGTAAATATGTGGCCCTGTGTTTCTTGTCCATATTGTTGTATTATATTGCACAGTCTTGCTCGATATGACTAGCAACACAAGAGCACGTGGCTTCAAGAGTTCAAAAATTACACATGGCTTCCACTAGCCCTTATTTCTTAACTAGATGTGGTTCTCCTTGCTTTGAAATGATCCCAAATAAAAAAATAACATTTAGTTGTAATAAAAACAAGCTGAAGCTATGTGCGGTCTTTGAACTACGTGGCGCCATGCGCTCTCGTGGTGAGAGTCGTGTTAAGCGCGTCTTGTACAGTTGAACCCCCTTATGCCTCCCATAAGGGGGTTCCGGGGAGCAATTCTTGTTCTCTACATGAGGTCCCCCTTTCAAGAAGGGTGCCACATATGCACTTTCTTATCAAGCCCTATTTTATTACAGGCAAACTGGTGTTTCTTATACCCAATAATCTCTTACATCAGTGTCTGTTATAAAGGAGTTCCACTGTCCACCAGTTGATCCATAAATGTGAAGTTACTCCGTGTCCTATCTAAAAAATAATGGTCAGGAATGCGTACTGCACCATTCTAAGGACATGCTATTACAAGTGTATACTGTATTTACTTGCATAATCCTTGCACTTTTTTCACGGAAAATGGATGAAAAGTTAGGGGAAGGGTGCGAGAATTGCGCGGGAAAATTTTTCGTCAAAACGTACAGAGTGAAATGGGAAACGAAGTGCACGCTAATCGGGATTCTCACGCCAGCAACTAACTGCAAGTTTTGTGAAGTACTAATTAAGACTTACCTTAACTATAAAACCACAAGTTCAACACAACAGAAGATTTATTTGAGGCACAAAAGCCACAAGCAAACAGTAGAGAATCAGAATACCGTACACAAAGCTTGTAGGCATTGTGGGCATTCATCACTCAACAAGGGCCTGCAAAAAGTCAGCGTACGACGTCAATTTCGAGCTGACCGCCATCTAACACGAAATCGTCCGCGATGCTTTCGTCCGACAAAATAAAGTTTTGCAATACATCGCAGCCTTAGGCACGCAGAAGGCCCAATGCATCAGTGGCTTTAAGCTGCTCGTGTTGTCGTCACCAGTAGCAAACAATACTCGACTCTGAAGTGCCTACTGGCAGCCCTGTTGCCATCGTTAAGCACAAGATCGAGCATTTCCAACTTGAAAGCAGTCGTGTAGCTTCCGTATCGCCCCATAGTGTAACCACAGAACGGACACAAGTCACAATACACGCCCACATAGACACTTTTGCTCTAATTAGTATATTAAAAAATTGGTTTATCAAGAGTTCATATAATTAAGCAAAGTGCAATAAATTTATCTACTTCCTTTAAGCGACTACAAACATTACTTTGGTACTCTTCAGCTACATGCCACTCTCTTATTTTTCATATACACTCAGCATAGAGTACTATGGGAGATAAACACTAATCTGGGGATTTATTTGCCAGACCAACCCTTCATCGTGAGGCACATGGCATTATGGGAACTCTGAATTGATCCTGACCCCTTGGGGCTTTAGGGGTGCACCTAAATCAGACCGTGTAGGTGTTCAGGCATTTCGTACTCACTAAAGAGTGGGCGCGAATTTAACCTGTGCCTATGAAGTTAGAAACGGAACACTTAACCTACTACCACAATATCTCTAGCAAGCGCTCCTACCTGAGCAAGCGCCCCCCCCCCTTTGTTGGAAGATTTGGAAATATGTGCCCCGATTCTTCACTCCTGCCATTTCCACCGTTTCCTAATTCATTGTAATTATTTGCCTGACAAAGGCAAATGAAAACAGTGAATGCATGCGTATTCGATAAAGCATTTCGTTAAAAGAACCGGTGTGTATTTGGCGGCTTCACAAAACACTTCGTCTCATTCGCATAATTGTGCGCTACAATTGCATCACTTCAGAACTACTGGACAGGAATTAATACATCTTCACAGAGTGGCACAACTCATGGAAGACTCAGCAGGATTTCGTCAATGCGTGTGCTCAAGTTTATGTGGTGATTCATTAGCGAAAATGTAGCTACACATGATAAGCATTGCCTGCTGCAATGTCCAGCTGAGCGTCTATAGCTGGTAGCGTTTAGTACGTTGCCTACTAAGCTCACTGCGTCGTGGCCGCTCACTGTAAAGACATGTGCATTTGCATTTGTGCAGAGACGTCTTTTTCTTAGTGCTCGATGAGCTTCAAACCATACAAGGGTGCGATAAGTATTTCATCAATGCAACACAGCGAGTTGCCTTGATTTCCACAAGCAATGTACATGTTATTAAAGTAGTCCTGCACACAACGGTGCAGTAGCGAACGACGAGCGTTCAGTACGTTTACCGTACACATATGCAAGTGAGAAGAGCGCTAGACCGCTAAGCCACATGTACGGCCCAGGAGGCAGTTCAGTTCACGATCTAGATTATCATTGTTGGTAGATTTCTCGCGATGATGCGCTGGCGCATTCGTCAGTAGCTGTCACCACGCTCCCGTGCATTTCCGTGCAGCCATCACAGCCCGCGCACCGAAGTAGGAGTGGTCACTGCATGTCTACTGTTGATGCACTTATCGTAAAAGCACGAAATCGAAAGTTCTTTACGGTACATATCCAGCTGAGTTTTCGAAAAGGCTCAATATTCAAGTCACCTCAAATATTGGAAACTTTGAAATATGTGCTTTTCGAATGGAATACGAATATTATGATTGCAATATTAAACGAATGTTTCCAACTTTGAAATTTTCCCACACCCTAAAAATTCAATAATCAATAAAGCTGAACCTCTATTTAAGACACATGTACCGGGCAGCCAATCTTGTATCTTATATAAGCAGGGTATCCACATATGCATTTTCTTATCAACCCCTATTTACATGTAGGCATACTTGTGTCTCTCGTAGCTATTTGCCTCTAATATCAGTGTTTCTTATAAAGGGATTCGACTGTATTAAAGGGATACTGAACAAATATTGGAAAAACTAACGAAACTTCAAAATTCCACTCAAAAGATGCCACTGTTCTGATAAACAGAGTTTATTTCTCGTATTTTTTAACAGTTCATTGTATTTGTTCATACATTGTGAGCGCGTGGCGGCTGCTCGCAAGCCCGAGCAGCGACGTCAAACACACTGGGGCACATGCAGGATGCACGTGTTTTTGTCCTCCTCTTTCTCCTGCAGTCCTCTCACTCTGCTCTTTCCCTTCCACAAAAGCGCTTGCGCTATGCCCCAGCCTGAAGCATTGTTCGTAGCTGTTGCTGTTCATACTGGTTCTGGGAACCGAAGTTGAAAGTGAGAAAGTCCAGAGCGCATGCGATAGCTGCATTGTTGGCTTGCCAGTTTGACGTCACCCAACGTCACATCCTCTCGTTCAAACTGCTGCTAGACACGACAGTTTGTGAAAGACCCGTTAAGTTTCATTATTTTCTCGCAGTTTCTGCTTGGAATGGAAGATTGTCTGTATTGATTTCAGCATCCAATCTATTGATCTGGCTGATAATTTTAGGCGGCAAAGATTTTGTTCAGTATCCCTTTAAAGAAATCAAATACCTTGAGAGTTTATACTTATGAGCAGACAAAATAAAGCATTACCTTTAATTCAGTTCGCTGTACCACCTTATGTATGTCAACATGGTGTCCAGGGCCCCGTGGCAATGAGCAAGTGCTAGTCATGAAAAAACAACAAAAGGCTTTTACTGTGAAGAATATGGAGTACAGGGGTGCAACGTACTGCCGCGGTACAACGCGAACAAAACACAGGTACGTCTTGAGACAGCGAAAGCAGCATGTTCTCAACAGCTGAGCCACAAGATTGTACTCTTCGTTCTCGAGTAAAGCCAGAGGCCCACTACCAGGTGTCCCTCAAATCCCCTCCTATCATCGTTTTCGTCGACACGTAGACACGCATCATTTGCCTCCCTGTCAAAGAGCATCACCCCGATGCGAAGTCAGTAATGCAGTTTTTTTTTTTTAAAGGAAAGTCTCACGCAATCACTCGCTGATGTAAGGCTTCATGCACACTACGTGAACAAGTTCAGGATGGTGCTGGCGATGCCTCGTACTATACGAACTGTCGGGAACGACTTCGTAAGTGACATCACTCAGTTGTCGCAGCACTCGGTATGATCCAAATTATCTTCTTTAAGAGCTCTTCGGAAAGTCCTCGTTTCCGAATGGGCGTCCAAACCCATAATTTGTCGCCAGTTCGGTAGACGACTGTTCTGCGGTGAGCATTGTAGCGGCTTGCATCGTACTCTTGCTGCTGGTGGATTCGTAAACATTCAAGTTGCCTAGCTTCTTCCACGCGTTCCATAAACTTGTCGCCATCTGGATCAATGTCATGACCTTTGCGCGGTAACATCGCATCTGAGATGGTTCATACTTCTCGTCCATGAACGAGGCTGAACGGGGTCATACAAGTCATTTCTTGCTTGGCCGTGTTGTATGCAAACGTTATGTAAGGCAAGATTTCACCCCAACTTTTGTGTTCAACGTCTACATACATCAAAAAGCATGTCTTCAATGGTTTTCTTCAGACACTCTGTCAGCCTGTTCGTTTATGGGTGGTAGGCGGTGGTCTTAAAATGTGTTGTTCCACACAGCATCAGGACGTGATCCAAAAGAGCTGCCGTAAATGCGGTTCCTCTGTCCGTGATCACGACGATTGGTTCGTCATGCCTCAGTAAAATATTCACGATGAAAGATCTTGCCACTTCCGCTGCTGTACCTCTCTGGATAGCTTTTGTCTCAGCATAACGGGTCAGATAATCTGTCACGACGATAACCCAGCGGTTCCCTGTAGTAGAAGTAGGTAGTGGGCCCAAAATGTCCATGCCGGTCTGGTCGAATGGAGTCTTTGGGACCTGCACGGGTTGCAGCTGGTTTAGTCGGTGGTGACTTGCGTCACTGGCAGTCGAGACAGGTACAAACGTGGTGCTTCACGGCTGTGGTTAGTCTTGGCCAGTAATACCGTTGCTGTACTCTGGCCAATGTTCTCGTGTAACCCAAATGGCCAGAAGTCACCTCATTGTAGCATGCTTTGAGTACTTCGGTGCGAAGAGCTGCTGGGATGACGAGCAGATAAGCAGATCCCATCGACAAAAAAGTTTTTTTGTACTCAACCCCGAAAACAAAAATATCACAACACTCTTGCGAAAACTCTTGGAGACTTCTGAGATCTGCTATCTAAGTAGTTAATTAAGCCAAGCAACTGAGCGTCGTCCCGTTGTTGCTGCGCAATGGAGGTCGTGTCGAGGACTCCGAGAAATGCTGTTTGCTCCTCCTCGGGCAGGGTTGCCGACTTAATGGGTGAACGGGACAGACAGTCAACATCCATATGTCGCTTCCCTGACTTATGTACGGTTGCCATATCGAACTCCTGCAGCCCAAGTCTCCAACACACTAATCAGCTGGTACGGTCTTTAAGATTCGTTAACTAGGACAGTGAGTTGGTGGTTGCTAATTACATTGAAGGGGCGGCCATATAAACACGGCGAAATTTTGTAACTGCCTATAACACGGCGAGACATTCCTTCTCCGTCATAGAGTAATTAGCCTCGTCGCAAGTTAGCGTTCTGCTGGCATAGGCAATGACTCTTGCTGTGCCCTCTTGCTGCTGCACAAGCACAGCTCCCAGACCTACATTGCTAGCATCGGTGTGAAGCATCGTAGGGGGCTCTCTCGTCAAAGTGGGCAAGGGACTGGAGGTGTTTTTAGTTGCTGGCGAAGATCGTTAAAAGCAGCTTCTTTGTTCTTCCACTCAAAGGTGACGTCTTCTCCCATGAGGCGAGTTAACGGTGATGCGATGCGTGCAAAGTCCACGATAAATTGTCGATAATATACACAGAGGCCGAGAGAGCGTCTGACAGCCTTTTTATCGGTCGGCACAGGGAACTGTGCAACGTTGCCATTTTTTCAGGATCGGGACGAACACCTGCATGACTGACTACGTGACCAAGAAATTGCAGTTTTTTGTAGCAAAAGTAGCACTTCCCAGGCTTCAATGTCAGGCCTGCAAACCGTATGGTGCATAAGACCACTTCAAGCCTTTCAAGGTGCTCGTCAAACGTTGCGTAGAACACTATGACATCATCCAGATATACTAAGCAGGTTTTCCACTTCAACCCGGAAAGCACGGTATTCATGACTCTTTGAAAAGTAGCAGGAGCTGCACACAAACCGAATGGCAAGACTTTCAATTCATATAACCAATCTGGTGTCACAAAAGCAGTCTTCTCGCGGTCTCTGGAGTCCATCTCGCTTTGCCAATATCCACTTCGCAAGTCCATTGAAGAGAAGCACCGAGCATGTCGAAGTCTGTCGAGGCAGGGGTCTATACGGGGTTGTGGATATACGCAATTCCTGGCCACCTGATTTAGCTTCCGGTAATCCCCACAGAAGCACAGGCTTCGGTCCTTTTTCTTAACGAGGACCAGAGAAAAATAGATGAATAGGTTTCGTCCGTTTCCTCGGCAATTATCTGATGCTTGGTTAGAGGCATGGGGTCAACTCTTGATGTTATCAAAAATCAGTCTTGGAATTCGGCTAATAACTCAAGAGGTCTGCGTTTCTCATCTTTCGGCAAAGTAATGCTAATGTCCAGAACAGGCGCTGAATCGAGATTTAGCATCTCGTCGACTACCGCCAAGCAACCTTCAGCACCTATGACATCGCCGAAAAAAAAAAAAGGCAGTCGTGCCTTTTGGAAGGTATCGGCGCTCAGCACTAAAACAGGTCAGCAGCAAGTCCGTGTGTCTAGCAGCAACTCTGACGATACCCCATGCGACGGAAATAACGTGGGTGAAGAGAAGCGAGCTTATTTGGTCTGTGACTCCTTCGCCGTCAATCTGGACTCCGGCGGCCACAGAAACAAGCGTGCACGACCTAGGAGAGAGGACCACGCCGTCATCAATAAGACGCAGTTGGTTTGTTCACGCCTCTGGAAAATTGAGTAAGCCCGAACTGCAGCAGAAAGTAGTTAAACCTTCTGAAATGTTGATGATGGCACCATATTCTCGTAAAAAATCCATGCCAAGGATTCCATCTCTGCAGCATGCGGCGATAACGACGAACGACGCTGTGAAAGGAGAACCTCTGATGTCAATTCTTGCTGTACATCTTCCAGAGGGCATCAATAATTGGCTTCTTGCCATTCTTATATTATACCTGTGTCACACGGGTGCGCAAAAATTCTTTTAAGTAAGCGGTCTTTTACGAAGTTGAAAGACTTTTAACAAAGAGGTGTTTGCGGCGCAGACTCACGGCAGCAACAATCTCCTTTTAGTGTTTTCGTTCGAAGACGCTAGCGAAAGCGTGGCGCTAGCAGTTAAAAGAGAAGCAATGAAAATTAAACGTATCATGATGTTCAAATTAAAGACTTGTTGCACTGCTCGTTTCTTCAAATTAATTTAAAAATAAGAGATGAAGAAACACCAATGTGAATGTTTTTTGCACTAGATAAGGAAGCATTCCCATAACTAGCGACGTGCACAAGTCCGTCTGGCACCACTGTGCTTTTATTTACCGTATTTGTTTTTCGCAACTCTCGACACGTTATGGGCGACCGTACGGGAGAAAAAGCGAGGATCGCAAGCCTCACGGCCTGCCTTCTCGCTCTGGAAAGCGAGGCAGACGCTGCAAAAGCCGCCAAGGAGAAGATAAAGCAGCGCAAGACCGAGCGTCACCACATGATATTGCTGACGCGTTGTAGCTGCTTACGAGAGTAGAAAAGGAAATAACCATTAAAAGAGTTCATTACACCTTCTGCAGAATATGAAATTTGTTTTTACAAAGAGTTCTGGTGACAGAAAAATAAGCATTCGGTCTTTTTTTCCCACCACTCGAAAATTGCTGGCGCCCACTGGTTTCGAGGCTACTCATTCGGAGCCGTAAAAGAGATCGACGAACGCCGTTTACGAAAAAGACCGCTTCTGAAAAGGAGTTCGCTCTGTGCCATGTGTCTGCTGTCAGGAACTCCTTTTCGGAAAAAGACCGCTTACTTAAAAGACTTTTAAGTGCCCATGTGACAGGGGTATGAGAGCCCGTTCATGGAGTCTTCACTTTTCTGAGGCTGTTGACGAGGTCCTGACCGATAATAGAGACGTCGGCACCGGTGTCGACTAAAGCTCTCACTTTCTGGCCGTCAAGAAGAATACTAAGGTTGGCAGTCACAATTTCATTACTTTCACAGCTTATCAGCTGCACGACGTCATGCAGTAAGGGCTATTTTTCGTCATCTTCATGGCATGCAACCTTGCCCCCGGAGGTTGCCACCCTCAGTTTCCCCGGCACGAGCTAGGTGACCTTCTTGTATTAAGGTCGGCTAAGGTGCGGCGGTGCCACAAAGGTGAACGCGTGAGAGATGGAGAGCGGGATCGACGTCCCAGACCAGGTGGGTGAGCAGACATTGCCTCCTCTGTAGTGGTACAGCCGTCCTCAAAGTGAGAACGCACTCCATAAAAAGAGGTGTCGTCGTGGCATGGAGTGTATTTGTTGTTGGCACGTCGACTGTCAAACGAAGATTGAAGAGGACGAAATTAATCACCTCGATGCCAGCAACGACGGGCAATATGGCCTGCACCTCCGCAGTGAAAGCATAGTGGACGCCTGTCGACTGTGCGCCATGCATCTGTGCATCTGTTCTTCGGGTCGGTGGACGTCTGAGCA